CCAAAAAAAGCCAAATGAGTTTTCCCCCACCCTTGCCGGTTTAAGTTTGTGGGAATTCAAACTCCCAGAATCCCCCAGCAAGAAGGGCGGGGGGGGGAATTCTGGGAGTTGAAGTCCACACAGCTTAAAGCTGCCAAGGTTGAGGAACACTGCACTAGACCCTACGACTGGATCCACACATTATGGTTAACCATGGTTGGCTTAATCTAGTTTGTGGAATCAGTCACCACTGATTAAGCTCCCACCATATGCTAAGTCACAAATTGTCATCCCAAACCTCACTGCTTATTTCCATACAGCATGTCAAACAAAAACCAGCCGAGGGAGGTGATGCTTTAGGCAAGACGTGAAACAAGCTTATGACACCTTATTTGAAGAAGGCTGGCACAAAAATGGCTTAAATTAAACATCTTCCATAAGATAAAAATAATATCTTATAAAGAACTCCTAGCAGACGAGGCCCATTCCAATCCAACCTCATCATTTTACAACACGCTCGATTGGGATCTGCCAGAGTCACATACAACATTGACTCACGCGTTCACCAAGCGGCCTGGGTTCATACAACACTGTATGCCACCCCAAAATGAAAACAAGCTAACCCTCGCCAAGCTTACTACAATTGTGTGAACTGTGTAGGAGCAAGGGGGAAATGATTCCAGCACGACTTACATACTTGCATCGGACGTCGTGACGTAAGTGTGTCAACTGCACAATGGGGTCCTGTTGTGAGCACCATATTTCAACATCATCGTGGTTTGTTACAGAAGCTGCTGGTCTGAAAATGGAGTCATTCTCAGAAATACACCTCCCTGGAGCTCATGTGACATTTCCAGGCCATGGTCTACAGCCCCTTCCCCAACATCCACCCCTCAAATGTATGGGGACCCATACATGTCTGGGCTGGGGATTCTGGTAGCTGTAATCCTAACATATCTGGTGGCCCTGATGTGGCTGACAGCTGGTTGCAGCCACTGGCTCTGCAGGATCCCGGAACGGCCAGCCAAGCAAATGTCTCCATCGGTTCCGGGGGCCCTCCTCTGAGCCTAGATATGGGCTGGGCCGAGAGCCCCCCTCCAGGAAAGCTTCAATCCATCAGCAATTGAGTAGACTGCGAATTCTTCATGGAAACAAATTGCCCTGTTTAACAAATCAATAATTTATTTTAAATGACTCTCTGATGAGTAATTCCTGTGCTCTTTGATGACCCTTTTAAGGAGCAGAAGTGGGTTTTTACTGTAATTTTTTCTCCTCCCGCCTCCATTCCCACACATAAGTTTTCCATAACACTTTGCCCCTGACACCTCCAAGCATGGAACTGGCAAGATTCATTTTGACCCATCAATCACCCAGGTACAAGACAACCAACAACCCTCCAAGTGCCTCCAAGGCATTTCAGCCCTCACCTGACAGCAAGGTGGGACACAAACATCACGTTGGTTCGTACAGAAGCATATTCACCGGTGCGCATGCTCAGAGTGTCAGAGCTGTCTCCCTGTCTGCTATTCTTAAGGCATCTGCGTAACACCCGCTAAGGTGTCCATTCATCCAGCTTCGCACAACGATCAACTCCGGATCGCAATCAGTTTCTGTGCTCCCCCAACAAGCCTTCATTAATTCAGATGGTGGCCAAGCCTCCCTATATCCTGGGTCATGTCCTGCCTCTGTAAGATCAGCTTCTATGATTGGGGCAGGCTGAACGGTAAGCTCCAGAAACCACTTCTGGGTAACAGTTGGAAGAGAACTCATGCTTGGACACCAACACCGTCCTTGACAGTTTATGCTAAAGCAAGCCTAAAATGAAGACAGAGGTAACAATATTTTAAAACCAGTTGAGCAAATGCAAACTTCCCCCATCCTATCACATCTCTTTCTGCACCAGGACAGCTGTAGTGTAAACGCTTTAGCAGTTTCTAAGAAGAAGCCAACATTGGTTAGAGCCCAGAATATTGTTCAATCTACTTCCCCTTCGTGAAAGCAAGTTTGGACTCTGCACACATACCCGTCTGCACACCAGCTCCCTCAACTCATTTTAAGGCAGAGGGCCCGACCTATCATCACAGATGTCTAGAGGTGACTCTACTTTGGAAAGCAAGTTGCAAAACTAAGTTCTCGGCGCAGGCAGAATTCCCTCGGTAGAGACTGGCCCACGTGCCTTCCCCAGATCCAGCCCCCCTCTTCTGCAATTCCACTAGACCACCCCCAGTCCCCCAAAGAAGCCCCACACACACTTACGGAGCTGTAGAGGTACCCCTCGCCATTCATGGCCACATAAAGGCCTGCCTTCACGCCTTGGATAGCTACCACACGGAGCCCCACTGGAATTAGATTGAAGAGGGCTGGAAGAGAGAAAGGGAAACAGAAGCGCCAGTGAGGCTGTGGGTAAAAACCAGGGAGACCACTCCCACCCCAGGCACCACGTCCCAAGACAGGGAGCATTGCTTCTCATGCTCCAACCCCCAACACCTTCATGGGGTTCTCGCATATGATCCACTCCGTGGATTACTCGGAGCAAAACCCATGGGAGAGTTTTTAGGCAAACGAGAAAAATCCAAGAAGCCAAAGAGTCACGAGGTTTCTTGCCTCCCCATTCATTAACAATCCAAAGTGTGTGATGAACACACCCCGGGTGCTCTGCGCTTCTCGCGGGATATGACATTCAACCCCTTCAACAGAGAAGATACATCCGTGTCAAAAGCGACTTCTGATCTAAAAAAATAAGTCTGATACTAACTCGGTGTTTTTCCAAACTTGGCAACTTTAAGATGTGTGGACTTCAACTCCCAGAATTCCCCAGCTGGCATGAATTCTCCCAATTCTGGGAAGTTGCCAAGTCTGAAAAACACTGTATTAACTTTAACTGAATTTGGAAATTGTTTATGGACTATAAATTATGCACGTAGCCATCTGCCACATCCAGAGTTCAGGTTTCTTTCCAGAAAAGGTTTTAAAACATTAGATTTTGTCTGGCTGGCTATAGCGTTAAGGATGAATGGCATTAGGTTAGAAATTCTCATAAATTCTTATTATTTTGGCTGTTTTTGTCAACCTCTGATCTGATTCTAATATTAGTTTTTAAAGTGCTAAACCGTGGTATGATTATCTTGATACCTTTCCCAATCTAATGTGACTTGTTAGAATAACAGTTGCTTTTTTTCTTTTAATATTTTGTAAATTCTTTATGCATTTTTATATTTTGCAAACCTTTAAAGTACTCTCTTTTAACTCCCTTTCCTTTCTTTTTTTCTGTGTTCAGGTATCTTTAAAATAAATACATTTCTAAAACAAAGTAAAACTGGCAAAATTTACTTGCAAGCTACCACCTGTTCATATTTTTCTATTTCTTTGACCCTATTTATAGCTTGCTCCATTCCCACCCTGGGCAAGAGAGAACAAAGCAACAGCAAAAGCCTTCGACAATACAAAGCAACAGCAATTAATATAAAGACACCTTGCAGGCAATTAAAAGCCATATAATCCAAGATGCCCAATGAATTAAAGAGCAAAACGATGCTAGAAAATAAAACTGCTTTAACTTGTTTCCAAAATGTAAGGAGGGCTCCAGGAGCAGAGAGGTCTGTCACTAGTCCATGCCCCACGTCCCTCACAAGGGGGACCCTCAACAAGCCCTCTCCCAATGGCCGGACTGGACAGACACTGGACAGTCCGGCAGCTGCACTTTTGTCTGTGCTGTAGCCTTCAGGCCACTTCTAAAGGCCACCACGTTTAGAGCCTGTAACCCTCTCCAGCAATGCAGTGGTCCCAGCACAAGTTACGACCCCCAGGGGACCCTGCTTCAAGCAGGATTGTGGCTGGGTTTCCAGCAGAACCTGGGCTGCCCCACCCCAC